ATGCTTGAATAATAAAAAATAAACTTAGAAATACTACATGGATCAAAGTATAATAAAAAATAAAAATACTTTGAATTAAGAACTTAAAGAAGTTAAATGTAAGTGCAATGTCTAACTTGTTTTTAGTGATAGTAATATTTTATTATAAAAACCCACCACTAAACGTAGAATAGAAGACAATTGTATATCAAAGCACATTAGTGAGAATCAAACTTTTTTGGCAAAGAGAGTAAATCCTGTAAACATTCCAGGCCTATTTTCTCTATTAAAACTATCCAACTCTGCTATTTTATCATAAAAGTAGACATAGATAATACATAAACAAAAAGAATGTGGCTGTGTTCCAGCAAATTTTAATTAAATTAATAGATGGTCATGGTGAGTTAAATAAGTAAATAGCCATCACTCATCATGGGAGGACAACATAGAAGAAATTTCAAAGGAATTTAGAGTCTGACATCTCAATATATATATTTAACATCTTAATAGGGTATCAAAAATATAAAATATTATACAATCAATTAAAGAGATATATAAATGGTGAGTTAATAGTATAAAATGTGGTACAATGCTGGAAATTAAGAAATCAAATATCTCATCTAATTTTTTTTGGAGATGAAGTCCAAGCAGGAATGTTGATGTTCCAATTAAAGGCCTCATGCATGCTAAACACACACTATTCCATTGAGCTACACTCCAACTCCCCATCTGATTTTCATTTTTCTGTTTACCATAGAAAATATAGGTGGCAATTAATGGTATATCACATTAGAAACATACTAATAAGTGTTTCTTTAACAATGAAAAAAATGGTATTTGCTAGTAGAAAATTCCTTATCTTGATAACGGTTTTAAAAAATTTCACCAATATTGAATTGCTGAAATGTTTTATATTATTTAATATTCTGGATACAAAATGGTTAGTTTCTCACCTAAATGACACTTTTGTAAATGATCTAAACAACACACACTACTTAAAGACTATGCTAATTTTGTGATTAGTGGCGAACAGATTCAGTACAAGTAAAAAAACTACTGGACCTGGGGTGATGGTCCAAAACCTCCTCTTTTAACTGTGTCTCAAGATTGCTAGTAACCACTAATGCTGGGAGTTTTTCAGATTTGTTGGAGGAGTCTGAGTTGATTGATCCTGAGTATTATTTGAAAAGTCATCACATATGATAAGATTATGCCATGAATGAGATAAAACAGAGAAAGGAGCAAGGAAGTTCTATCCGTAAAGCATTCCAGCAGTAACTGTCTGATAGAATGAGAACAGGCAAATGGGGCTAAGACAAAGCAACCAATGAGGTAAGAGGAAAATCGATAGTATAGGCTAAGCTAGAAGCCAAAGCATAAGAAGTATCGCTAATAGGTTTTATAATTTAGCATGACACATAAAATATATTGGTGGCCTTGGGAAAACAGTTTTGTTTAAATGCTAAGTTCAAGCTACAACTTGAGAAAGAACGTGAAACACTTGTTTAAAGAGAGAATAGATAAGTCACACAGAGGTTTTGCTACAAAGAGGAGTGAGGATATAAAATAAGAGGGTTCAAAAAGTTTTATTTAAGGATGCTGAATGAAATAACCTATTAGAGAAGTAAATATAAATAAGGTAAGAAAAGGAGTAGAGAAATGTTAGTGTGGGATCTGTGCAGGGAAGACAAAAAGAATTAAGAACTCAGACTGAGCAACTGGAGTTAGATAGGTTGATGACAGGTTCATTTTTCATGAAAGACATAAAGTTATATTTTATGTAGATGCTGGTAAATTAATGGACGTAGTAGTGGGGATCTTCTGATATTCTTTAGTGATTGATTTAAATTTTCATGTAAAATAAGAATGGATGCTTATTATCTATGAATATGAAGGTAGGAAATGTCAGATCTATAAGGGAGAAAAGATTGTATGAGATAATATTCTAAGGCAGTGGTATTATAAATGGATTTGTAAAGTAAGTATTGGTTGTCTGACAGCATCTGAATGCACAGTAGGTTTTTGGTCATACAGTTAAATATTTATGTGTATTTACCATAGTGTGCAGTTACAAGCTAAAAGTAATCTGATTGAATTAAATTTTTGCCAGCATAGGAAGAACTGAGCTATCTGCATGCAATTCAAATGTAGATAATAGTAATTATTATGGTTGCCCATGGAAATTAAGTAGGATAAGAAGGATATACAGCACCCTAGTAATGTGGAGCCATGGAAATGTGGAATAGGCAGTGGTTTGGAAGACCTGGTTGAATCCAAGGATACAGGGACTAACAAACATAGAGGTCATATCAGGAACTTTTATGCATAAAAATGTGATTATCTGAAGTATTGTAGTTATTAGTATGATAATGCCTCAGGGATGACTTTAGTTTTGAGTGGATACATTGAGGAAACTTAATTCTGGTGGCTATAAAGAATATATAAATTTAAACTGAAATAGACAAGAACTAATAATATTGGAATTACAATACTTTGAGCAGAAGTTCAATTCATCTAGAAATTTCATCTAGAATGACCAGATGTTGGCATACAGATGATAAGTTATATCAGTGAGTTATGTAATATGATGTTAGGAAAATCAAAATTGGATTTTTTTTAAAGGTGAGCAGAAGGAAAATTATCTGAAAGGATTCACTAAGGGTAAAGAGAATGCCTTGCTTAGCCCCAGAAGCAAAAATATTATGGCAGAAAAATATCAATCACTGTGCTATTTGTGGATATGAATATGTGGACTTGGTAAAGCTGTGAATAGAAGCATGAAAGTATGGGATAAAATGTTAGAATAATGATTACTTCTTGTAATTAATTAGAGTGTTATAAATAAGACACAAGTGTCTTTGAGGGTGCTTCCATCATTCCATTTCTTGATTTATTGAATAATTCTAAATATATTTTATTCACAAATAAATATTATATGAAAATATTTTATGAACTTTTCTATTGTTATCTTTATTAATTTATTGTATTTTGTGTGATACTGGGATTGAACTCAGGGGTTTTCTACCACTGAGTTACATTCTCAATGCTTTTTATTTTATTTTGAGACAGTCTTGCTAACTTGCCCAAACAGATCTTGAACTTGAGATGCTCCTTCCTCAGTAACCACCTTGCCAATGGCATGCACCACCATGCTCAGCTATGAAGTTTTCTATGTTTGTGATGCTTCATAATAAAACCATACAAATAGAACAATGGTGATTTTGAAAGACAGCTTTTTAAACTTGCTTTGCAGATTTATTTTCATTCCAACCTTGATGATATTTAAAAGCTCTGCTTCTTATTTTTTTCTTTTGAAAAATGTGAAAATAGGAATTTAAAATCTAATGTCACCTCATCTCCTCAGTAGCATAGTCCCATTGTATAAAACATGTAATGTCACTGTTCTCATTTCAACTTCATATTCATTCATTCATTCATTCATTTATTCAAGCAATGTGATGGACATTTTCAATTGTGAGATATTATCCTGAGAACTGGAAGTTAAATGACTCATAAATAGAGTTTGGAAAGGAAGTATTTTTTAAAAAAAAACTTATTTATTATCCCATATAAGCTATACAAAAGTCTATATTTGTAACTGCTTCTATGGCAGGTTGTTAGGCTTATGAACAGAGGCTAGCTTTTGAGTAGGAATTCCATGAAGAGAGAATCACATCATGCTAGATAACTAGATAATCCTTGTATTTGCTGTTTGTTTTTTTCTTAGAGAGAAAAGGGAGTTACTGAATAATCATCATCATCATCATCATCATCATCATCATCATCTCCAGATATGTATTTTCATGTAATTTGAGAGTTTCAGTAATATAAGTAATCAAAGAACAAAATTAGGCAGATGTGGAATGAAATTCAGAAAACACTTTTTTTTCCTTTCTGATGAGGTGGTGCTGGGGGTTGAACCCAGGGCCTTTCACATGGGAAGCAAGCACTCTACCAACTGAGCTATCTCCCCAGGACCTCAGAAAACATTTAATGCTACTATTTTACAGTAAAACTAAGCTCTGTATACTTAATGTAACTTATTTTAATTTTTATTAAGTATTTCTCATCTCAGGAGGGGATGAGGCAATAACATTGTGAACTTATTTAATCATTTTGAAACATTTTAGCAGGATTCATTTGCATACAAACAATGTGATAATTACATGATTCATATGTATTTATTAGAATAGGTCCAGGAGGAATTATATTAAGCAAGATTTTGCCAACCTAATTTCTACACTTCTCCTTCAATTATTTAAATTAATGAAGTTTTACTCTGTGTTTACAACTAACCTTCAAAATAAATTTATGAATTGTCTTGCTTTATAAATGGGTTTGAGTTTTTATGTCCTTTAGATAAAATTAGACCTTGAAATCAAAGATGAAAAACTAAATTATCTCCTTTATTTCACAGCAGGTGACTAATATTCACTCAGGGAGAATGCTGATTTCCGGGAAAGTGAATGCACTCAAGAGTCACTAAGTTAAATTAAGCACTCAGCCTCTTCTTTGGCATTTATCTATGTTGTAGATCATCTTGCTCCTCCTTGCTCCTCACTTCTCCTTCCCCTCCTCATGTTCTCTTTTTCTTTTTCTTTTTTTTATATACATATTTATTTCATAACAATAAATTTCTGACAGATAATTCAATATGAATCTTTTTTTTTAATTAGCTACACATGACATTACAATGATTTGGTAATTCATACATTTAAATCATTGGGGTATAATTTCTTATTTTTCTGATTGTACAGATTGCAGAATCACACTGGTAATAGAGTCACCTGTATACATACAGCAATCATAATGTCTATTCTATTCTGCTGCCTTTCCAATCCCCACTACTCCTCCCCTCCCCTCCCATCATTTCTCTCTATCCAATCTAATGTGATACACTTTTTTTTTCCTTTTTCTCATCACAACATCATACATGTATTCTGTATAACGATGAGGGTCTCTTTCCATCTTCCGTGCAACTCTCCTTCTCCCTCTTTTCCCCTCCCACCTCTCTTCCCTATTTAGTGGTAGTCTTCTTCTCATGCTCTTCCTCCCAATAAGGAGGGTGACTCAGAACGGGATAGGGAGGAAGAGCATGTTCTCTTTTTCTATCTCTTTCCTGTCCCCTTCCTGTCTTTCTTTCCAATGAAATAAACACATTCAATCTTATCTTGTGTGATTTGTGTTATTCCAAATTACCAATATAAAAGAATATCTTTATTGTTTTTCTTTTCATTTTTCTGTGAGGGAGAAATATCTTCTTTTTCTCCTTTTCTTTTTCTATAAGGCAGGAACATGACTTCAAAATCTGAAATTCAAAATAAATCAGAATAAATGAACAATGCAATTGACAATGATGATGTTTTTAAAAGCAATTAACAATATGCAGGGATAAAAGTGAAAAAATGAAGTACAGTTTCATTTGTTTTGTTTATTGGAATCACACAACAAATGATATGAAGTAGGTAATTGAGGATTTGATAATTCAGCAGATCAGTGATAACAAATCTCTGTGTCAATTTCTCTGAAATACTCTTGGTTTTCTTTCCCAGGTCTAAAGCTCAATTTTACTAAACTATACAGGGTGGTCTTTCGTGATAATGCCCAAGGGAAAAAGGCAGAAAACAAGACCGTCTTGAATATTATTTTGTTCTAACAGAAATTTCTAGAAACCATCTTTGTAAATTTCCCCTTGGGGCCGATTGGTAAGGACTCTGCTGTGTGCTGTATTCTAAATACAAATTCCATAATGTGTTACTAAATGCAAAGTATGAAAAAAGAATTTGTATGCCAGATAAAATCAATTCATATTGCATGAAACTAAATATATGCTATTATTATCTATTACTGATATAAATTCCTTAAATTTGTTTGATGAACTCCATTTTAAGATTAGAGGTAATGTAATTAGGTAATTTGCTAAAAATGCTTTCCATACAATATTAGTAATAATAGGAAAAAGAAAATAACCCTTTTCCTCTAATCTATTTGTACATTTAAAATCAATGCATTGATATAACATTTGCAATACTTTATAACTGTAATAACTGGTTTACATTCATTAGTTAATTGTTATAACTCAACAAGTTATAGGCTCTTAGTGTCCCTATTATATAGGTGAACAAATTGAGTCAAACATAGTGTTTGGCAACCATGAATTCATTCCTGTCAAGAATATGGAAAAACAATGTAAACACCTCTGGAAACTACTTCTGATTTCATGGAGTTGTGGAGTTTGTATATGAGCCTGTATACAGGGATATACTGGCAAAAATTTCTTTTTTTTTTTCCGTAACAACAAAACAGTTTTGATATAGATATTATTTATATTTATATATTTTGGGATATTGTAAAGTATAGAAGATTTAGCATTTATTTAAGAGAAACCAATATTATATTGGTTATGCTTCAGACACTATTCTAAGTGCTTTCTAAGGCTAATTCCTTTAATGGCCATAAAAACACATTGGGTGGATATAGTCATAATCCCTAATATACAGATGAAAATATTGCAACATTGAAGGTGCCTAGGTGATGTGACCAAGCAACTCTGGGGTTGCAGTATTTTCTAGGTAATCTGGCTAAACTCTCTTTATCCTTAACCCGTATATTATCTGACCACATTCACACTGAAAGTAATTTACAGGTCCATAACTTTCCTGTTCACAGCTTTATAATCACTTGGTGCATTCTTTTTCACTCTGTTATTGGATGTATATGTGCTAAATGCCCACTTTACAAATGTGAGGCTTCACACACAATTCTAAGAGATTCTTTGTACATACATTTTTAGTTCAATATTAGTTTCAGACCTTTTTCCCTTGGGCAATAAGAAATTAAGCCTTATTAAAACCTTATAATAATGTAAAGAGGGATAACAGATATGTGACATTTCTATTTCTGAGAACCACAATGGCAAGTATAGTCACCACCCATGAGCCATCTGCTTTTTTTTAATTTGTGGAAATATTTGAAAAGTTATAGAATTATTTAATGTGTATATTTTTGAATATCATACCATGAATGAGATTTGCTGATTACTGGTAAAAAAAATTCTGAGTCATGTGGATTTGTACTACTACATAAAAATTGGGGTTTTAATTCCCAAATGAGAATTAATATTACTAGCAATCCTCTATTTAATTTATTTAATTTAGTCAATTTATTTTTAACATTTTTCCATGAAGTTATTTCAATTTCATTCCATTCCTATAAGTCCATAACAAAGTCTTCTGTTTATAAGTCTTATCTTGGAGATCTCTAACTTGAGATAAATGGAAATACTATCATCTGTATGGGATCTGAGTTAGCCTTTAAAACTTTTATGACAAAGATTGTTGCCAATACTATAATTTCAGATAAGGTAATGATATTGAAGAATCCTGTATACTTATTTCCCTTCTCAATTTTGGGTTATGGAAAATTCTAAAAGCCTTCTCTTACAATTATATTAATATGCCCTAATTATAAACACCTGTAGAAGACACCAATTGCAGGAAACTTTCAAATATATCACAGAAATTCCTTTAGAAAATGTGGTTGTTATTTTCTCCCTGTAATATCTTTATTTGCCCCCAGTGTTTACCAACCATTTCCATAAACTTCATTCGCAGCTCAGCTGGTTTTGCACTTGGCATGATGATATTCTACTATTCTACCATAACCCATAAAAATGTATTACTGATACCTTTAGGAATTACTTACCTAAAGCAAAGCCAGAGTTTCATAATATTTGTTTAATGATTTTTATTTTGCAAACTTACTTCTTAAAAACCTTTCAGCTGTGTTTTATAGCAGCAGTCTTAAGAACAAAACTATTAGTGCATTTTCCATTTTATTCTATTCCCATGAACCTATTTTATCCCTTATTCTAAAGACCCAAAACTTATTCAAATGAGTTTCTTTATTATGGTCCATTCATATCTACTCACCCTATCAAAGTAATTTTATGCCATAAAAATACTAATTTTTGGCTCTTGAGAGCCTTTATAAGTGTATTTCATAATATTTTCATTCTCCTTTTGTAATTAAGCCCTTTTAACTCCAGGTCCACCACTACCGTTTTAACACAGATGCATATATAAATAGAGGCATATTACCTAGGGATATGGCCACAGATTGAATTTGCAGGTCATTTTCAGGATTAGCTCTTGTTTATTCAGTCTGTTCTGCTTGACCCTAAGGAAATTTTATAAAACAAGAAATAAAAACAAATAGACACAAAAGGATATACCTGGAAGCATGTAGGAGTGTCACATACTAAGTACAAATGCGATATAGAGAATGCACTATATCACAAATAGTGAAATGAGAAAAATTCTCTGGTAGATATCCACTGCTAATATAGCAGTCCAGGCTCGAACAGACAGAAAACGATCTTTCCAAACACAAAGGTCTTTCTTTTAACTTGCCTTTTTTTTTTCAGTTTTTCATTATATGGGTTTGTGTCCTTTATATAAATTGGAAGACTTACGTAGGAGACTTTCAGAACAGTGGAAAAGGTAGAATGGGCTTAGTCATTACCATTGGAGTTTTCCTCTTTGTGAAAATGGAAAATACTTGCATTGAAGTACAAAAAAAAATGACTAACAATATTTAATACTAACATCAATTGAAACACTACATTATCCTAAACATGTTATTCCATAAAATTATTAATTCATTTTTTAACCAGAATCCTAGACCACAAGAGGTCTGACTTTGAGGAGTATTAACAAATTGGGTGTGAACACTGTTCCCAGAAATCAAATGGAATAGTAATGGTAAAAAGGCAGAAAAGGAACTTTATCAACATGACTTTACTGGAAAGACAAGTGAGATCCAGAATCTCAGCTCTGACTTCAGGAGCACTAACATGAGCTTTAGCTTTACATAGAGGAATGATTGAGGCAGGAAGGAAGAGAGTGTGCATAATTAAACAGTCTTGGTCAAAGTATGGTCTTGTTTATCTTTATTTTTGTTTTAGTCACACAGACTCTTACCAGTGTCAAGGAATTTGCTGCTGCTAAGGAGTGATCTCTATATGCTTTGCTATTTACCTATCAGACATATGACTGTGGAAAATAGGAAGATAGCTCCCTTGGGACAATTGCTATTGCTTAGGGCGTAGTCTCATCATGAGATTATCTGAATATAGGTTACACTGTTCCTGGATAGTGTAGGGCGATGACTTTCTGAACTGTGCCAGACAAAAATTTTTAGGTGTCACCCCATGGTCCTGGATCTGGGCATTGCAAAAGTTTACAGGTGGAAATGTGTTGAAAATGCCTTAGGGATTCTTACCTTGGAGTCTTCAGCCTTGAAGGAAGATAAATATTCCTTAAATAATTAACATGATTATGTGCAGAGTTCAGCAGAAATTTGATCCAAAGTTTAATAAGATAATAAGGTGACAGATACAAAATGAAGGTAGGGATATTAAGATTTTCGTTGCCCATCAGGCATTAGCAGGCCCAAATGAAGAGTAAACTGTTTTCCACCAAAAGAGCATGTAAGTTCTTGTTATATATATATATTTTTTTGTTCCTGTGTATATTTACATTGCAGGGTGTAATACTCTATTTTTACATATATGCTAAATAATGTTGTAATATCCCAATAATTTTGGGTTTATAATCCTAAAGATGAAAAATCACATGAATTTATTCAGCTTGGACTTCTGCATAACTTTTTGAATAAAGTAAAAATGTCCAGACAATGCTTTATCATGTTGCATATATGCATTTCTTCTGATGTGAATACAGCACACTATTCTTATCATAGCATGAAAAAAATAGCTGACTAGGCTAGGTCTCTTCTGAAGTCCCTTGTAAGTCTGATTGAAAGAAAGAATAAAGGAATGTACCAGAGGGATATTTTCTCCTCTCATAGATGCCTTCAGTGCATTTAGATGCCTTGGGCGGGGAGAAGGCTTTGAAATTTAGTATTTAAGTCTGGTTTTGGAAGAACAGAAAATCAGAGGACAAGTATTAATTATTTATATCCACCGTATTTCTTCCAAAGTTCATTTTTCCTTTTAATTTCTAAAAATTTCATTAAATCACAATAGTAAAAAGTGATTATAATTGGAAAAAAGAGGAAATTATATTATAGGGTTGACTTTATAATTGTAAAAAATAATTTTCAGAAAGCACTTCTATATTGTGTAAAACATGGCACATGTTTTTGTCAGATTTCTGAGACTGTAAGAAATACCTGGATACAGCAATTTAATATTTAAAAAGGTTTAGTTTGGGTCCTAGTTTTAGAGGCTTCAGTTCATGGTTGATTGGCTCCCTTGCTTTTGGGCCAGTAGCATGGCAGCACATCATGTCAAGTAGTTCAAGATGAAGCTGTTAAGTATATTAGTTATTCTTGAACAGGCGGTTGGAGGAAAAGGACAACCAAGGCCTATACAACAGAAAAAAATCCAGGAGCCACAAAACTGAAACCGAGGAGAAACTTATCTAAACAAACAAGCATTTGGGATTGAGATCCAGAATGCCTAACCTTACCCAAGCCATAGAAAACTAAAATCCCTTCAGGGAATCATTATTTAAAAATCCTGGGGAACTTAATTAAAACAAATAATTTCATTATGGTTTCCAGATAAAATGCCCTTACCATCCCTAGCCCTTGCTTATTAGCAAAACCTGTCACAACCACCCTATCAGACCTCATAAAGGAAGTTTGGTGAGATCAATTCAGGGCCAGGAAGCAAAAAGAAAGAAAGTTAAAAAAAAAAAAAAAGACATCGGAAAAGAATAGATTCCCACAATTTTTTTCAAGGGTATGTCCCCCATTTATCTAACACCTCCTACTGGACTCACTCCCAGAGCTCTCACCACACCCTAATAAAACTTAGTTGGAGATCAAACATTTAACATTTAGGACTTTGGGGGACATCAAAACAAATCATAGTTGCATAAATTGCACAAAATAAGAGAATATAATAAACACTCGATTAGTAGCCCTCTATTATTTCAGAAAATACTGTTAACTAAGCATATCCATCTCCAAGGTTATGATTTTTGTACAGGATTGGGATTCATTTGTTCCCAAGGATGCTTTATCACGGAGCTATGTCCCCAGTCTTCTTTACTTTTTATTTTGAGATCTGTCTGGCTAAATTGCTGAGGCTAGTAACAAACTTGCAATATTCCTGACTTAGTCTCCCTAGTTGTTGAAATTACGGGCATGAGCCACTTAACTTTGAGATTCAGTTGAAAAGTTCTTCATTTATGAATCACTTTTCAACTGCAAAATGAATAACTTCTGTGTCCATTCTTTCTTTTGCTTATTTTTTTGGCCTTTTTTTGCTAGCATAGGCATGTGTAATTATGGATCACCTTAACAGATGCCTTAATGGACCTTCTTTAATGTCAGACACTGATATCTGCATTTGTACCTAAGATTTATAAATATTAAAGTGTCCTAATATAGCCAAAGTCTGGTTAAAACAAAACAAAACAAAATAAAACCAACTAATCTTGTTTTTATTTTTGAATAATCAATAATATGTTCCTTTGAATAGATCAAGTTACATATGTTATACTTGAAAAGTACACCTTTGAAAAGGGGCACTTTCATTTAATATGTATGCATAGCATTGGGACATATTGTTTAAAAATCCATTGTTATCCACTTTTTATATTGAAAAAGTGGTTCAAGTGCCCAGTTTACTTTTTGCTTATAGATCTACTACCACTAATGACTATTTTTTATTGGAAATTAATGGTTGAATTATGCATATTGAAAACACATTTTTTTAATAAAAAACAATGCATTCCATCAAGTAGTGGAAAAGGTGTTTAAAATATTGTATCAGTATTAGGGGAGAATTATGCATAACAATAATAATAACAGTTCAGATTGATCAGAGGAAAAATATTCCTGGTTATATATTGTACCTATATTATTTACTTATTAAACTTTTCTAATATCATAAAATTTCTATATTTAGTATCTTTATATTGTATCTAATAAAAACCTGTTTAAAATTTTTATATATATTTTAATATATAGTATTAATTATTTTTAATTCATGTAATTTAAGATTGTGATAGATTAACCAGTATCATGAAAGAATGTTCAAATTTTATTTTAAAATCAACATAAAACTTTTTATTATACTTTATCATCTTTTGAGGGGTGAAAGACTAAACACAATTATATTTTAGAGCATGAATTCTTCTTAAAATATAACTTTTTTTTCTTCAGACAAGAATTGTTAGTAGTGGGAAGGTATTTTTTTTTTTAAGAACAATTACGTGAACTGAATGAGCTGTTCCTCATTCCAGTAACGTGAGCACTTGAATTTGCCTAGGGAGATCCATCATGATTACTATAAGAAATAAATGTAAGATGGTCAATGAAGAAAAGAAGTAAGCTAATTTAATTCATCTTATCCCACAATCAAATCAATATTATCCCTCTTCAGAATTCTAATAACCTAGACATTGTCATTCTTAGTTTTACAGAAAAATTATGGGTTAAAACATTTTGTTTCATATGCATCTACATGGACCAGGGAATCAGAATTATTTTATAAATCTTAGTAACATATTGCCTTTATGGCTTTACATAACATACTTAAAAAGAAAACTTGGTTTTGCAACACTTTTAGGATTACAGAAAAATTGAATTCAAAGTACAGAGGTTTTCCATATGTCCTGTCCTTCTCCATCCCCGTTTCTCCTATTATTTGTATTTTGCATTAGTGAAGAATATTTGTTACAATTAATAAGACAATATTGGTTCATTATTGTTAAATAAGGTCCATAGTTTGACTTAGGGATGTCTTCTTATACTGTATGGAGTTAAAGGTTTTGACAAGTATATAATGGAATTTTTTCAACATTATATTATCACAATAAATATTTTCACTGTCCAAAATATCTCTTACTTCATCTCTCCCTCCCTTCTTCCCTCTCTTCCAAAATTTCAAAATCACTGACCTTTTTACATTCTCCCTAGTTTCACCTTTCCCAGAATGTTATATAAATGGACTCATACAAACACATACTTTTACAAAGCTCCCAGGGAGTGTGAT